ACTTGGTGAGTTAGTAGCTGACAGTATTCCCTAACACACACACTAAGCCAGGGCTAGTTTCTGAAAGCTCACAGTGCGGGGGTCGGACATCCAGCAATTAAAACCATTATGTAAATAAAGCACAGTTTACAATGATCTGTTACCTTTGAAATTTGTTTATTTTATTATACTGAATCATAACTGCAATAAACAGAACCCAAACCCAGAACCCCTGCAAAAAACTTATTTTTATTTATTTATTTTTTTTAATGAAGTGGGCCGGATTGAAGTCACTGTGGGCCGGAAATGGCCCGCGGGCCGCCAGTTGAATACATAGCTCTGCACTAAACTCTAACAGATTGTGTGAAAACTGTCTAAAACTTGGGCATGCAAGGTAGTGGGTGGCATGCACCCCTTCAGGAAATGCTTCTGTCATTTATAGTTTAGTTTGATGCTGATTTTATGTGACTTAAATTAGTTTGTGCTGAGCGTCACTTTTAATTTCCACTTTTAATCCCTCTTGGAGTTTGATTAAATGAAGATTTGACTGGGAATGTTTCAGTTACAGCACCTTAGTTTGACAATTAAAAAAAGGTATAAAGCATCATGTGTTTACAAAGAAAGAAATTTGTTAAAGAATCGCCTGAATCAAAAGCCATTCATTCAATGACTCGTGTGTGTAAAAGATCCGACTTTATGAATATTAGTAGTAGTTGGGATGCAAATGTCAAAGTAAATTTAATGTTGATTTAAACATGTACATGCTTTGTGACAATAATATATTCTGTAAAGATAAATATGTCATTTATATAGCATTTATACAACTTTACATGGAAACAGAACTGCCCAGTCAGCGACAACACCTGGATACAGATGTTAAGTTGCTGTTTGCCTCGGGGCGGCTCGTTCGCAACAAGGCTCTAACCTTTGACCCCCGCCGCTTAGTTAGGACAGGGTGGGCCATTTAAAGCTGCTAGGACTCAGCAAGGGGTGTCATGGTTAATAAGCCAACATCTGGAAGAGTTATGACCATTAGTGGAGTGCTTTAAAACTGTGACAAAACACTCTCATGAAAGGCAACACCCTCTGTGTGAAAACACACACTTTCAAGTAAAAAAAAAAAAAAGTACAAAGCAGAAATGAAGCTTGCAGGGGCAGAGCTCTGGAAATGAGCCAAAAAAAAATCTAAATGAAGCATTTAAGGAATGGTTCACCACCTTATGGTGAGTAAATGAAACATACATAAATGACAGGTCTAGCATAGACATGCTTCAGTGCTCCAAAACCTCACTGCATACCGAGTGTTTTCCATGGCAAAAGGGAGGAAACTCACCCAGCGTGCTGTTTAGATGAGATGATTGCAGGAAGGATGCAGGAAACCTCTTGACACCAACGGCTGGCTACATATAAATGCTTCACCTCCATGCTCATCCTGCTACAAAAGTCAACTGTAACTAAATAATGCAGAAGCAGCTAATGTCATCATGGCGCCTCTGATTTCAACGGGAGAGCCTGGATATAAAGATGGTGTTACTTCTTTGACAAATAAAACACTGTGCAAGAAATAAGCAGCCGATGCAGTGACTGATCAGTCCTGCCTGGTGAGTGTAGCGTATCATCAACAGTCTCGCTATCGTGGACGCCAATTATCATAATACCAGACCACCACGTGGTTGGCAGACGCATCCTTTCTTCCTTCTCTCTCTTTACTGGAGGATTACGAGCCACTTCCAGACCAGCTGGGATATATAATCCCTGCAGCAAGGTCCCTCCCCGGGGCCTCCACCCTGTAGGCCCCAAGAAAACCTCACACCAGTCAAGTGTCAGAACTCAGAACCACCTCCGCAGACTCCGAATGTGCAGGACGTCTACGGCATTCCTCTCAGATTTGTGAACGTTTCAGCAGAGCAACCCCAGCCGCCCTGCAGAGAAGACTAATCTGAAACATTTGTGTTTGTGACTGTGTTGGTTTGGAGGGTGGAAGAGTCTAACTGAGGAGGAGGGGGAATTAAGGGTCTTAATCTTAATTTTGGGGATCATGCTCTTGCAAAAACAAAACAAGCATTCCTTGAAGGAATGCATATCACCTTGCACGGCGAAGTTTCAATCAAGCTCAAGGACTTGTTCAATTGCTGCCAGTCTTTCATGGTGGCGGGTGATAATTAGAAATGTTTCGTATTTTCATTTGTTTGAGCAAACAGAAGTTATGTCGTGCTTCAAAATAACAAATTGCAACTCCTGCTTCATAGTTGACACATGTGCACAAGAACATTGTGTAAAACTAAAATCTGTTTTCGCATTCGACGGACATTTTCCTCCGTCAGTTAATTTTCGTCTGTTTTGTTCTGAGTTTCGGTGTAAAAGGAGCATGAAATTAGCTGGAGCCTACCAAAAAGTGAAGAGCTTTCTTGATAGAAAGTTTATTTATTCAAGCAAATTACACAAAAAGCTAACAATTCTCTTGCATTCATTGAAAAAAAAAAAAAACTTCTCAGATGTTGCGCTTTCTTTCGGGAAACCACATGTTTGAAACGTCTGAATTTATCGGCTCATGGAGCTCACCGTAAACACGCTCGTTCACGGTACAGTTAGGCCTGTCGGAGCACAGGATGCTAACGCTCCTCACGCTGCTCATTACTGACATGATCCTGAGAATGGATGGGGAGACAAAGCAAACAAAGAAGATTGAGGAACCCTGCAGACGTCCAAGGTTTGAAGCGGCAGAGGTCATTCTCAGTACCAGTGGGGCCCATTCCCACAACGATAACAGACCAATTCTTTACCCTGCCTGGTTACCTAGCCACAGCCTTTCCCAATCTCCACACCGCCTTTCTTGCATTTCTCCCTTCAGAGGAGGCGGATGATGGAGCAACAGTCTGTGTAGACTCAGGTTGCTGTAACCCTGATAACCATGACAGGACTAGTAGAAGTCTTCTCATCTTAAAGTGGATGTTTGTTTGGCTGAAGGGTCAGCCGACTTTTAACCACATCTGGCTAGTTTCAGCCTAACATCCCTCTGAATTAGCCACTTAACTTTTAGCAGTAAAAAAAAAAAACATGTTGCAACCTTGCTGTGTCCTGGGAAAGGACATATGGCTGTTTAAAATTCACCGTAGCCCATAACTCATAACATTTCTGTTTGCCGGCTCATGGTTTTATGTCGGGACAATGTCAAGGCCTTCAAGTCTACGCCTGATATCAATCCAGGAGTCCGACTTTCACAGTCCCTGACCGGCTGTGAAACGGAGAGACATTAATCCTGGTAACGGACGAGCGACTGCAGTCGGTTGTTCGGTGATTCACTGCTGAGCGGTTCTCGCTGAGGAGGCCGTAAACCAGACTCCGACAACCTGTCCGTGTGGATTTATGTACAAATTGCTGCGTTGCGAGGTGAACGTTTTGTTTAACGGCGGTTTTTGAAACTGATGTTCTGTCAAATAAACAGTTCGTAGCTTATAAGCTGTATAACAGTCATAGAACACAAAGTATGTTTGCTAGGGGCTAATAGTTGTTTTTCAGGCCTATTAAACAATTATTTCTCAAAAACGACCATTAAGAAGATAAACAATTGACATGTCCACACATGTGGAGCTATCCTTTTTCAAATTCGCCATCTCAAAAGCGTCAAAATGATACGTAGTTTGTTGAAATTTGGCAATTCATCGCCTGTTTAGCAACAAGCTTGTTTTGTTTACAAGCTTGCTGGTTAGAAAACACAATTTTTACATCTAGAATGATGTTATTCCAGCCCTATTTAAAAAAGGGTAAGCTTCAAAGAAAAACAAATCAAATGTCAAACATTATAAGAAGGGATTTCCTGGCAGAGAAAAATAGCTACCTTTAAAGAAAATTATAAGGATTGTGAGACTAAAGGTTATTTCAGAAGACACACCTGGCAGAAAACTTTGATTTAATGAGAAAGGGGAAAATATCTGCTATTTCAAATGAGATGGTGCATTTAAGGACTCGTTTTAATGCAAATCTGGGCAAAAATCAATATTTCTACTCATTTTGAACTGAAGTCCTGTCATCCTGATTTATTTATCCAGCACGGGTCACATATATAGAACCTACTTTGCACCTCTCTCCATGTATGTGTGCACCTGTGCAGCCGACATCGTGCTCCAGACTAAGCTCGGCCTCACCTTTGACCCATATGGTGTCTTGTGAGCCGAGTCGGAGCTCAGGGCCCCAAACTGTCTCACAGTGGGGATGGCATGTTATCCTCTGCTTCACCCACCCCTCCTCCTTCGTCACTCCACGCCCTCCGAGGGACTCCCTTTGTGTGGTCTGCACATTCCTCCATTTACTTGTCGGTGCACTTCTCAACCTGGCAGGGCTGACACACAGTCAGCAGGTAGAAAAAGCTTCGAATCTGAATTGTAAGTCATCTCATGCATGCATTTAAGAATATGAATATTCACATCATGAGGTCTAACAACCGTCATTAGGATGCTGCACAGACTTCCACTCTGGGATCCTATTGTTTCTGCACAGCTTTGAAACGCAATCAGAAAATGGGAGCAATTACATGGAGCTTTAACTCATCACCATGTCAACAACAAAGAGAGGCTGATTGATCAAACAGTCACAGAGATGCATTTTAGTCCCAGTTGGCAGCAATCAAAACAAGATGTCACGTTTAAGAAGAACTCTCCAGCCAGCTCTGTCAGGCTCGGATGGTAACGATGTTTTTAACGTCCACTTTGTCACTTAATTCAAACCTGCTGTTTAATTCCAATTCCACTTTTGCTGGAAAGCTTGAACTTTTGGCTTTAGATGTGATCTGATCTGAAAAGCAGGGCTCCCTCTGCCACCTCAGTGTTAGTCTCACTTTATAGCTTTCACACACTTTTATCAGTGTGGTAAACAAGTAGTTAGAGGTTAGATTTTACACCAGTTCTCACGCATGTGGAGTTGCTCAGGATGAGGTTGTGGTGTTTGCAGCAGCTGAAAATGCTTTTGTAAAGTTGATATTTCAGAGTAAGACTTGATTTTTAGTGTTGTTGAGTTTCACATACCCACAGCTTTAATAACGAATCCCTTCGGAGACCTCAGAGCCCTGCGCATCCACGCTTCCCTCAGCACCTCCAGGCTGTTTGCGCTCCCCTGAATGAAAAGCACCAAGTTTTCCATCCATCCCTGGAAGTGCACCTCAGCCACGGCCTTCACGAGCCGCTTGTTCCAGAAGCTGCGCGAGTTCTGCGCCTTGAAGTCCGCGAAAATCTCCTGGCCGCGGGCCGCCGGAGCGCAGCCGGGCTTCCCATCGCCCGCGCGTAAACTCTCCTCGTCCGGGCAGAAGACCACGGCGAGGGAGGCTCCGGAGAGCTGGACGAGCCGCTGCTGCTGGGACATGTCTCTCCAGAGGACTTTATCGAGTCCAGGAGGGAGCTACCATCATCCTGAAGGACAGAAATCCCCTAAAACAGAAGGCACGGCGGACTGTGCCGGACATTCCTCCAGTGTGCGCCTGGATCTGGCAGACAGGACACCCCGACTGGTTCCTGTTGGTGACGGAGGAGGAGGAGGAGGGATGAAGAGGAGGGCTCAGTCTGCTGCTGCTGGGACACACAGGTGGACCTCCCACTCTTCACAGGTGATTTATTTTGAACTTTTTCAAAAGAGCCACAACCTAAAGGTGACAAAACAACTGGACCCTGAAACAATTTATACAAGTGATTCGTTTATTTACAGAAGGACTGCATGTAAGATAAGATAAGATAAGATAAGATCAAACTTTATTGATCCCACAGGTAATTGTTGTGCCAGAGTTTCAATACAAAGGAACAAGGAATTACACAAGATATAAAAAAAATAACAGAGAATATAAAAATACCAGCAGCTAAGTTCTAAAACAGGTCAGGTGTGGACAGAAACATTAAAGTGTTTATTGTAGTGCAGGATTAATTTTAGTGTCTTAAAGAGGGAGGAGTTGAAAAGTTTGATAGCCACAGGGAGGATGGACTTCCTGCCTTCACCTTGCATATCAACATTTTAAAGAAAAATCTTTAGCAGTCTGGTAGCACAGGGAGCAAAAGTGGGGAGCACTCGCAGCTACTGCCACACCAAACATTAGCTCTGTGTCTATAAAACTGACTGTTATAGTTTGTGCTGCATGTTCACCTGCCCCTTCATGGTAATGGTGATTTATAATAATAAAAAATAAAAAAAACAGCAGGGAGAATAAAAAAAACTACACGAAAAAGCAGATTTCAGCTATGAACTAAAGAGAGCAGAAGAGAGAGAGAAGGTGTGTATTTGCTGGAAGGTTGATTGCTGAGTAAGAGCAGGCGAGTTGATGACAAATATGGAACAGGTGAGTGACATGGAGAACGATGGCTGAAAACTTCCTGAAGAAACCAAACAGCAAAGAACGTAACTGAATATCTACAAAGTAACAAAAAGGCCAAAATACAAAAGCAAAACCCTAAATCCAGGAAATATGTTGATTTAGTTTGCTTGTTTTTGGCAGCGCTATGGATTAGTGGTTATTGACTTAACAGCAAGAAGTTCCTGGGTTCAATCCCTGGTTTCGACCTGGGGTCTTTCTGTGGAGTTTGTATGTTTTTCTCATGTTTGTGTGTGTGTATTTTTTCTTTTCTTTTTTCTGGTACTCCTGTTTTCTCCCACAGTTCAAAACATGCATGTTATGTTGCCTTCAAGCCCAGGCCTATATGCAAAAGAGCTTTGCAATCTCATTGAGATTTGCCTGGTTAAATAAAGGTTAATAAATAAAAATATTTGATTTTTTTTCAATAAATAAATAAATTTGTAACTTTGCTTTGTAAAAGAACAAAAGTTTTAAAACAGTACATTGCAGTGTCATCAGCGTAACATCTGATGCTTCTCATTCAGGATTCTTGGCATATAAAACAAATACACATGACCCCAAAACTGAGCCTTGTGGAACACCTTTGGCTACACAGTAAGAAATAATACTTTCTTTCAAGCACTGAAATCAGTTCAGAGTTTCTTTTCAAACTTTACAAGCTCTGACATCTCAACACTACTACTTCCTTTGAAAATAATTGTATTTACAGTATATTTATGCCTTTATGACCACAAAAACAAAACTTAAAGCTTTTTTTCCAAGCTGCTCAGTCTGTATTTAAACATTTGTGAATCTCCATCCTCATGACAAGTCCTCACATCTATCATTTAACACCAACGTCAAAACCAACTGCTTTATGTGACATGCAGAGATCTCGTGAGAGACATAAATTCCCGAGGATTGTATTGAGATGACAGAAGCTTGAGTTATTGCTTTCACAACAGTGACTTAGCAGAAGAAAATGCCTCAGCCACACGTGTTTGCCACTAAAATGAGAACCATACCCTCCTGTGCTCCCCTTTAGGCCCAGCTTTTACTGACACACACACACAGACACACACCTCATATATCACTAGGGTCTGAGGCTTTAATTTCAGGAGCACTCGGGCCCCTGATAGGCCTGGGGCCAGTCGGCCTCAGTGTGGTGGAAAGCTTTTGGAGGAACAGGATATTACGCTTCCCATGGTACATCACCTCAGCCTCCACAGGATGAATCATACCGGTATGTTCCAGGAAGCGCATCGAGTCGAGAAAACCTGGGTCTTTTCCCCCAATTTAATGGTTTATTCATATATTTTGTAGAAGTGGTTTAAGATTTTAAGCATTTCTAATAAGTGAAATCAAGTGTTTAAATTGGTTTCTGTTCCAGGTGCGTGCTGATAGCGTGTACGTGAATGTTAATATTTAAAAGTGTTATTGTTAATCTCACCCTGCAGGACAACGATTTACCGTATTTTTTCGGACTGTAAGGCGCACCAGATTATAACGCTCACTGATAATGGATTTTAAGTGCGTCTTATAGTCTGAAAAAATACGGTAGGTTGGTTTGTCCCATTTGAAGATTTTACATATTGAAGTCAATACATTTAGGATGCATTTGTTTTAAAAAAGTTTTAAAACTCAGTAACCTTGGAGGTGATTTTAACTTTATTTTTATATTTTTTGCTGAATGTCGACCTTTTCTCATATGATCCAGCCCAGAAACGGTTTTCTCGGACAGTTTGTTATAATCAACTCATCCATTGCTTCATCGTTGATGACCAGCAACGCCACATTCAAACAGTCCAAACCATGATACTACCACTACCGTCTTTCACAAATTAGGAGTGTTTTACCTGCTTGCAACATTTCCCTCTCAACATAAAGCATGCGTTCTGTACTTCATACGTATATAAACACAGCAAAACCATGTTAAGGCTGTTTGCATTACATGGAAGGCTGAAGAAATACCGTCATCGTTTGCTTCCTCCAGATAAAAAAAAAATAAAAAAATGTTGGCACGGGCTTTGTTTAATCTGAACATTTAGACAATAGGTTCTGGACCACACATTTCAAATCTTCAGGCTTTTCCTTCCAAATGTTTAGTCTGCTCGTGGGACTGATTATCATGAAGCAAAGTTCACCAAGTTACCATAATGACGTGAAATTCTGCACCCCAACCCCTGATTTTTCGTTAGCGTACACATGTCTTGGCTCTTGCCGCGTTCTGGAGCCGTTTCAAAGCAGTATCAGATTTCTCAGAAGTCTCATCGACCTCCACTTGATCACATTGTATATTTTCCTTATGATAATTTCAGCTAACCACATGAGCCTAACTTATGTGTGCGTACGTACAAACTGAAACATCTGGTCCTGCTAAAGCCGCTTGGCTCTCGGGACTAACACAACCCCGCAAGGCTTCCCCTCAACCCCAAAAGCTGGGAATAAATACGACCCAATCATTCCTAAATCTAAACACAGTTCCTACATGTGGGCCTACATGTCTGAGTAATCACTTCTCCACTTCTACAGGCATTTTGGAGGAGGATTGTCACCTCTTTGTTTGAGTTAGGAGAGCAATGAAACATTTAGTTGCAACATAGGAAACAGAAAGGGTCATTTCTGCACCACATGACGCAGGTCAAAGGTCGTTAGCCGGTTGGACGTAGACTGTTCAGTGACCTCACCTTCCAGTTTGTTTTACACAAACAAGATCACATTAGATTTAAAATGACTCTAATGAGAATTTTATTTTAAATTTTGGATGAAAAGTAACCAATCTATCCCTGTTGTCAGTTCTTATTCTCATATTAGATAACAGTTCTCCTGCTCTGACTCATTATCGAAGTCAGGGGTCTTTAATCTGTGGCTCTGGGGCCACATGTGGCTCTTTGGTACCTCGGTAGCGTCTCTTTCAGGCTTTGACTAAAACTAAAATAAAACTGAATTTTATTTAAATTATTGCCAACAATGAAAATGGCTAGTTTTAGCAGGTTTCCTGTCGTTTTCAAATATGTGAAGAATAGAACAAATACAAGGCGTAAAACATGTGGACTACATCACGCTAGTAGTTTGTTAGCCACTTTGTTAAGTCGACTTCCAGTCTCACCATAGGCGTCACATCAATTATATGAGAGGGGGACGTGTCCCCTCCACATTACTGATAGTACTTCTGACGCCGCTGCGTCTCACAGTGAGATCTTTCTCTCAAAATCCCCAGAATGTTTTAGAATATCTTTAAGACAAGATGCGTAGAAGGAATATGATGAGATAACACTAAGAATAAAACACAAAGAACAATGTCAAAGTAAATAAAAGTATTTATTTTTTTTATGTAATTGGATATCCAACAAACTGCCCTAATTTTATACTGCCTTTAACTTTATGTTTTAAGTAGGACACTTACCGTACTTTCCACCGTATAAGTCGCATCTATTATGTGTCACCGCTGACCACCCGGAAACGTGGGCCGGTGTTGTACCAAAAATCGACTGGCTGCCAAATGGCGGCCGCAGGAGCGTGCACAGGAGGACTTTAACAAGAATTTAACAAGATTAACACTTAAAAACAATTATTTGTTTGCTCGACATTATAGCAAAGGTGTGTCTCAGTCTATCCATCCATCCATCCATTTTCTTTACCCGCTTATTCCATTTTGGGTCACGGGGGTCGCTGGTGCCCATGTCCAGCAATCACTGTGCGAGGGGCGGGGTACACCCTGGACGGGTCGCAAGTCCATCACAGGGCCACATAGAGACAAACGAGACAAACAACCATTCACTCTCTCACTCACACCTAAGGACAATTTAGAGTTACCAGTCAGCCTAACATGCATGTTTTTGGACTGTGGGAGGAAACCGGAGTACCCGGAGAAAACCCACGCATGCACGGAGAGAACATGCAAACTCCACCCAGAAAGGCCCCTGGACCGGGGTTTGAACCAGGGACCTGCTCGCTGAGAGGCAGCAGCTCTACCAGTTGCGCCACCGTGCTGCCCGTGTCTCAGTCTAACTTTTCCTTAATAAATGAACTTTAACAGTGAAATCTGCTGCATTTCAAAAGCCGATTTGCGGCTGTGGGAGCGCGCAGAGAGAGGACTTGCTGTGCATTTCTTTGAAATTTAGCAAGATAACCACCTAAAAACTTTATTTTTTTTTGCTCGACATTATAGTAAAGGTG